GTGGCTGTCCCTGGAGTCACAAGCCCAGGCCATGACTGGCCCTGTCCCCCCAGGGAGTCGGCTGACAAGGTGGTGCTACACACAGGCAAGTATGAGGAGCTCATCGTCTGCTCCCACGAGATTGCAGCCAGCACGGCCCAGCTGGTGGCAGCCTCCAAGGTAAGTCTCTCTGCTTGGACTGGCCTGGCCTTGGGGTCTACCACAGTTGCCCTGGGCTAGGAGACCACAGGCCCACCTGACTGCCCCCCTAGGTGAAAGCCGACAAGCACAGTCCCCACCTGAGTCGCCTGCAGGAATGCTCCCGCACTGTCAATGAAATGGCTGCCAATGTGGTGGCCTCCACCAAGTCAGGCCAAGAGCAGGTCGAAGACAGAGGCAAGTGCCTGGTGTACAAGGGAACTGCCGGCTTCCCAGGGCCAGGTGAGAGTGGCTGCCCAGACACTTACCCTTGCTCTTTGGCCACAGACACTATGGACTTCTCAGGCCTGTCCCTTATCAAGCTGAAGAAACAGGAGATGGAGACCCAGGTAGGTGCCCATGGACGCCCAGCTGGTCCCTTCTTCAGCTGGGCCCCAGGAGGGTGGGGAGGGACCTGGGGAGACACAGGACATGCCAAGTGGGCTCTGTGGTTTGCAGGTGCATGTCCTAGAGCTGGAGAAGACACTGGAGGCGGAGCGTATGCGGCTTGGGGAGCTGCGGAAGCAGCACTATGTGTTGGCAGGGGTGGCGGGGACAGCAGCGACGCCCGGTGAGGAGAAGCCCAGCCGGCCCAGTGCTGCCCCCCGAAGTGGCACCACCAAGAAGCCACCCCTGGCCCAGAAGCCTAGCATGGCCCCCAGGCAGGACCACCAGGTGCCAGGCGTCATCACCGGGATGGGGAGGGGGCCGGGAGGGGCGGCAGACCCCAGCCTCTGCTTGTGGGGCTGGGGGCATGTACCCCTGGGAAAGCTTGAGATCCCTGAGAGCCTAGCAGGGTCAGCAACGCTGCCGGCACTTAAGGGAGGGAGGCACCTGGGCTGTGCCATATGCTCCTGTCCACATCCACTGAGCACCTCACCTTCAATCCCTGCAGCTTGACAAAAAGGATGGCATCTACCCGGCTCAACTTGTGAACTACTAGGCCCCGGAGGGTCCAGCAGGGCAGCTGATGGGCGGGCCTAGGCCTGTCTGGGGGCATGTACCCCTGGGAAAGCTTGAGATCCCTGAGAGCCTAGCAGGGTCAGCAACGCTGCCGGCACTTAAGGGAGGGAGGCACCTGGGCTGTGCCATATGCTCCTGTCCACATCCACTGAGCACCTCACCTTCAATCCCTGCAGCTTGACAAAAAGGATGGCATCTACCCGGCTCAACTTGTGAACTACTAGGCCCCGGAGGGTCCAGCAGGGCAGCTGATGGGCGGGCCTAGGCCTCATGTGGCTGCCCTGACAGGGCCTAGGGGCCTCCAAGGGCCCAGCCCTGCACCCGGTGCCCAAGTCCCCTGCCCCACTGCCTGGATCAGTGTCCCTAAGGCTCCTGGCCGATCCTGATGGGGCCTGGGCCATACGGGATGGTTCTTCTGGACGTTGAGTCTATTTATCTGCAATAGTAACTTCCGAGAGCAGCCAGAACCCAACAGGCCTGAGCCACTCTCTTCAGGAAATACATGGAACAGTTTCAATGTTCCAAGTTAAGAGCTTTTCCTCCTAAGTTTATGGTCAGCACACTGGGAAACAGGGCCATTTGAGGGGCCTCTTCTGCTTTCTGGACTCAGCCTGCTGTTGTAGACGAATAAAAACATGGTCCATGCGGGCTGTGGGGACAAGGGTGGCTTTCTTGGGGCACTGATCCCATGAGGCCAAGTGCATGCCCATCACAGGCTATGTGGCCTGCCGCTCTAGGGCAGGGTGGGGAGTATTGTCCCTTTCTTCTTGGGCCTGGTGCTAGGGCTTCCGTGCTGGGAGCTCCAAGAGGAGGTCAGATGCTGGAGGTGACCACTGTCTGGGGATCAAGACAAAGAAGTGAGCAGAGGCTGCTGCCGCACCGACGGAACCCAACCCAGGTGCCGCCCTTGCTCCTGGAGTTCCCATTGCCAGCTGGAATCTGCAGCCACCCGCCCATTTCCTGTTTTCCATTCCCTGGATCTTGCTGCCCCTGCCCTGGAGGCCCATTCTGGCCACTTTCCCATCATTTACCTTTAAGGGTGGGTTCCAGCCTTCCTGAACTAGGCCCTCCAGTTTGGCCAGAAATAAGCCCAGAAACCAGGAGCTGCCTGTCTGCCTTCTGGGGGATCAGGAAGCCCCCTCAGGCCCTCAGGGAGGGGTGGCCTGCTGGTCAGATCTGAATGAATTTTGTCTTTGAGCCTGAGTGGCCCGAGAGGTGGGACCAGACTGGGAGGGTGGATCCAGCAGCTGGGCTGGAGGAGCACGGGCCGTACCCCCCAGCTCCATCCCCTGTTCCTCCTGCTTCAGCCCTATATGCCTCCCAGCCCCCTCCTTAGCCCTTTGCCCTGGGAAGGCTACAGATAGGGGCCTAGGTCTGGGAATGGGCAGGAGCCAGCTCCTGTGCTTTATGTATTTCTTGTGTTGAGGTATTCTCTGGGCAATAAAACGCACTTTGACTGTTGTCACGCCCCAGAGGGGCTGCACCTGGCTCTTCATTTCTCCAGAGATGCATGATCCCTCTTCAGGGTAGGGAACCCCTGTTTCTGCAGATAACACTAGAGCGCTCTGGCTGCAGACAACCTCGCTTAGAGCTGCTGCTGCTCCGCTGGGCAACGCCCAGCTTCTCTAAAGATTTATGTACCTCAGAGCCCTCCTTTCACACAGAAGGCTGAGAGTCAGTGGCTGCCACCCCAAGGCCACCTCTGTTCCCAGGCTGGATGCCCCATAACCTCCCTGGGGCCCCCTTCAGTTGCTGTCTTCCAAGCCACTTCTGGGACCATGCGTCTGTGGACAAGGGAGGGGTGGCTGCTGATTGGTTGCAGGTGACGATTTCCAGGTCTGAGCTGTTGGTGGGGGCCCTAATGCCCAGCTAGTCTGGACCTGACCACAGAAGCCACATATGGCCTTTATATTTATTAGAACTTAGAGCACCACTGCCTCTGTCCCCCCC